AAACTCCCACTAGGTTTATATCTGGGACTCTCCACCATTTGACCTTAGAACTGAAGAAGCTTCTCGGATGAGAGGTGAAACGTCTTCAAGCAACCAGACGCTTTTCTTTGCAAGCTCCTTTGACGACGTTTTGACTGTTTGGACCATTCAAGTACATGTTAACACAAAAAGGGAAAGACATCAGCAATGATCTTAGTGAAATAATTACTGGTGACCATCATTCTTGGAATGGTTATGAAGCCATTTCCAAATGTTTTGAAGTTGTTTTGCAGTGATGTGATGTGAACACTTTGAGTTGAGTCGTATCCAAAAATATTCTAGAGTCAAATATGAGCTTATGTGTCCAACCACTAAAGCCCGACTCAAATAGGGTCATGCAACAGGACAATGATCCCAGCAGCAGCAGGAAACAATCCTCTACAACAATGGCAGAGAATGATAGATAGATAGATAGATAGACAGATAGATAGATATATAGATAGATAGATAGATAGATAGATAAAATACTTCATTTTACATTCTTGCAGTACTTGGCATGTACAGGACCTAAATACTTCTTCTACTCTTGGTTCTGTCTTTATAGTTTGAACTCTTTCCACTTAGTAATTGATGGGTTCGGTTTGTGTGAATGAGGTGCGGCACAAAGCCACAAACCACTGATGTAATAAGAAGAGGTGCAACCTTCAGTCAAAGGCAAATTTGATTACATTGTTTCCCACCTGAAGACACTTTATTCAAATAAAGAAAATGTAGCGTTTCAGCTGGATGGTTTGCATATATCTGCTGCAGGCTCAGATTTGGATGCGTAAAAATGCGATGTGTAAATCCCAAACCACACAATGAATCAAATGCAAAGAGGAAAAAGCATTATATGATGAGCAGACTCCTTATATAAGCTCTCTGTCTGATCCTTGTCTCTGTAGGAGGACCTAAAGGCATGGACTTCCACTATCACCACCTGTATAGCTGAGCACGAGGCCCTGGGCAAGTGGGATAAGCCAGGCACCTCATCTATGGATCCTGACCGCTCCGAGAGGAAGGAGAAGTCGGAGGGAGATGCAGACGCCAGGTCAGAGAGGTCCGAGCTTGTAGAGGGGGAGGAGAGGTCTGAGAAGGAGAGATCAGAGAAAGGCGACGGCTCTGAGAAGTTAGACACATCTGAAATTGCTGACAAGCTGGAGGGTGGGGCGGGGGGCTCCAGCACGTCTGGAAAGAGCAAATGAGAAGCCCTTTTTTGTTTTACTGCTACTCACTGACAAACAGCATAGGAGGCAGGGATGGATGGAGAGCATGTGCAGTTAGGTTTGCAGGTCCTCGGTCACACAGCTGGAACACACCGAGGCCACGGTCCTTTGATTGACTATTGTAACTGTGACAGACTAATCTCTCAGCCTCTCCCCCTTCACCCAGGAAATACATCAGTGCTTGCGGTGGGCCACCTGCTGGTAGATAGGAGGCCGGCCGGGTGGACAAACAAGCAGACAGACTCCAACAAATGGTCCCAAGAATTAGTCACTGTCACTTCCTATTGTTGATCGTTTAATCTCTCGGATTCACAGCATCTTTGTTTATGTATCTTTGACTGATAATGTAATGCTCTGTCTATCTAGACAAACCTGAGAAGTGGCGAATGAAATGTTTCTCAATAGTAAAAAAAAAGAAAAATGTTTTTGAAGCAATATACTTTTTTATGTTTCCTCTTTGTCGGTGAGAGAAATGGGGGAAAGGAAATAAGAAGTAATGTAGAAGCAGCTGTAAATTCTCTCATTTTTTGGTCACCTCCACGTAAGCTTACTCCAGGCAGTTGTGCACCTTAAACACTCGACACATCTGTATACTAATCATAGTGACATTTAATCCCAACACATGGCTAGCTTTGACTCATGTTAATATAACGGAATGCTTGTGTTACCGACTGACTTCACTGGTGTCACTTCCACAGTTCTTTTCTTTTCACTTCTTCTGATTCTCATTATGATTTATCTGTAACGATCCGTGTCCAGAGAAGAGCATCCCTTCAAATTCTGATCCATCACCCCCAAGGCATGTTCAAAGCGGCAACGCTCAAAGTAACACTAAGCCTGAGACGATGCCTTTGTGTACATGACAAAAAAATCAGAACATTGCATGAAATAGTCTTAGTGCACCTGTTAAACTTGCCTTTATTTCTGTGTTCTTGGCATAAATCAGGCAGCACTGAAATCGCAATAATCTAACGTGAGCGGGTGGGTGGGTTGTATTTGCTGTCATAGACGACTTCTCCAAATCCAGAGGGTTGTTTGAAAAAGCAGAGTTGTGTTCTCTCTGCGGTAAGCATGAGAGGAAGAAGCCAAATGGCCCTGCTGCTGTTTGTACTGTATCACTGCTATTTCTTTTCCACAGAATGTACTGATTTCAGGTA